CAGATCAATCACACAAAATAAAGCTACAATTCTTCCCCAGTAGCTGATGCCAGAATAATTGGCTTTTTTAATGTGCATTGGGCAAGAGAACCCCCATATTGTGCAGTAACATCAATACATATATATACACTTATGTTTTATCTTCTTTCTTTTTTTTTCTTTGCTGAGGAGGATTCACCCTGAGCTAACATCTGTTGCTAATCTTCTTTTTCTAAGGAAGATTCACCCTGAGCTAACATTTGTGCCAATCTTCCTCTATTTTCTATGTGGGTTGCCACCACAGCCTAGCCACTGATGAGTGGTGTAGGTCCACGCCCAGGAACTGAACCTGGGCCATTGAAGTGGAGTTCTCTGAACTTAACCACTAGGCCATGCGACTGGATCATCTCTAATTGTTTTGAAGATGTTACTAGATATGTAATTGAAGTTTCACTATGTTCTCTGGATTTCCTTGCTGCTCCTTTAGTCCCTCACTTCAGTGTATGTGTTTCTTGTTCCATCTTTCATGCTAGAGGAATTCCTCAAATATCAAGTGGTCCTTGGCTACCCATTCATGTTTCTGTGATGGGGAGAAAACAGCTGAGTAGGATCTCTGTGGGCTTAATGGGGCCTGTGTCTGCCTGGACTCAGTGTTTCTTGAGGGGTCTAGAGTGTTGAACTAAAAGGGCAGTGTTGGTGCATGCTGATCTCTAACAATGTACTTATTCCACACATTCCCACGATGACAGACATCCTCTGAACACTTGGAAATGCTGACAACACACACCCACACCCATATATACCCTATTTTCAAATGACCAGCAGCATTTGGACTGTAAACTACACCTGATAATGCACACTGATACTCAGAATATACACACAAACTCACACAGATACAGACCACTCACTGTATCAGAGCCCACTGTGACTTGAACTCTCTAAACACACACAGACATCAAGAAAACACACCTTCATATAGATGCCATAATAGCCTTGCACCCTGTGACCATACAGAATTGCTGAACACACACACACCCATATAACAAGGAACATGGCCATGCACGTGACTTGATCAGGCTTTTTTTCATACCTCAGCATCAACATGGTCACCCCGGGGCAAGAGGGAGGGGCAGAGGGCACAGGCAAAAAATGTAGGAAGCAGTCATTAGGCACTTGCATAAAGCAAATATGATACCTGCAAAGCTGGTTGTGAAATGACATATGACACAAGGGTATGAGGAGCCAAGAGGATCTGAAATGGTACAAAGGAGGTGACTGATACAAACCCATCACAAGTTATTTAAATGTAAGGAACAATGGTATTTTAAAAGGCAGTGAGGTGAGTGCATCAAAGCTTAGATATAATTCCAAACAATGAATGACATGGAATTCTGGCCAAAGAACAGCCATTATTGCTGTTAAAATTCTTATTTAAATGTTTCTTATAAAATTATACTCATTGAAAAATGACAAATATTCATTGGTTTAAAACATTTAAAACATTTCATGATAAAATTACTGCAGGTTCCATTTTTATTGAGTAGCTTTCCTTGAGCAGCTATAAAAGCTGGACAAAGCACACAGAACAGCTCTTTGAAGGGTCGGAGAACATCCTGTGCAGGCAGGACTTGAGGGTCCATAATCTCTGAGATGAGGGAAGCACAAGATTGTGAGCACCAGCTCCATGCGGCTTCTCCTCTAAAGCATTTGCTATTTCAACAGTGAGAGAAGAGAGTCTGAGTAGAAAGAGGAGGAAAAACGAAATGAAATTTGGTTCCAGCAAAGTCCAGTAACTTCTGCTTCCACTCAGATGTGGTAAAGGCAGAGCAACAATTAAACATTGATTTAGGGCTGACCCCATGGCTTGGTGGTTAAGTGCACATGCTCCACTGATGGCGGCCTGGGTTCGGATCCTGGGCGCGCACCGACGCACCTCTTGTTTGGCCATGCTGAGACCGCATCCCACATACAGCAACTAGGAGGATGTGCAGCTATGACATACAACTATCTACTGGGGCTTTTGGGGGAAAAAAAAACATTGATGCAATAAATACTATGTTTGAAAACACCAAAGGGATATGGAAGCAAACAGGACTAGATGAAATAAAATTTCAAAAAAGGAAGAGCCTTTTTAGGTGAGATTGCCAGACATGCCCTCACCCAGGGGAATTTGCTTAATCTGGACTCTGATAGTCAGACTTGTGTTACCAAAAGACAATGTAAGTATAATCTGTCATAACTGATCTACTTTAGATTTTTAATACCACAAGCTTTGTTTGGCTGTTAATTTTTATTGCTTCCACTAGAAGACTCTGTGAAGGGAAGGACATTGTATCATTTGCCACATGATCTCCAGAACATTCTTCAGTTGGGGCTGTATGACCTCTATAAATATTTGCTAATTGTTGGTTTCATGAATGCTATGGACCAAATGTCTATGTAACCCAATTTCATACGTTAAAATCCTAATCCCCGACGTGATGGTATTTGTAAGTGGGCCCTTTGGGTGTTAATTAGATTAGGTGAGGCCATGAGTGTGAAGCCCCCATGATGGGATTAGTGCCCTTATAAGGAGATGGAGGGCCACCGCTCTCTCTGTCAGATGAGGGTAGAGCAAGAAGCTGTCCTTCTGCAAAACAGGAAGAGAGCTCTCACAAAAACAAATCAGCTGGATCCTAGATCTTGAACATCACAATCTTCAGAACTGTGAGGAACGCATTTTTGTTGTTAAAAGTGCCCAGTCTAAGGACAGCCCAGTGGTGCAGTGGCTAAGTGTGTGTGCTCCACTTCGGCAGCCTGAGGGTGCTCACTGATGCGCCACTTGTCAAGCCATGCTGTGGAGGCATCCCATATAAAAAGTAGAGGAAGATGGGCACAGATGTTAGCCTAGGGCCAATCTTCCTCAGCAAAAATGAGGAGGATTAGCATTGGATCTTAGCTCAGGGCTGATCTTCCTCAAAAAATAAAGTGCCCAGTCTAGTGGCCTGTCCCACGGCCTATTGCTTAAGTTCAGTGAGCTCATCTTCGGTAGCCTGGGTTCGGTTCCTGGACACAGACCCACACAACTCATCAGCAGCCATGCTCTGGGGGTGACCCACATACAAAATAGAGGAAGACTGGCATGGATGTTAGCTCATGGTGAATCTTCCTCAGCAAAAAATATAAATAAATAAAGTACCCAGTCTATGGTATTTTTGTTACAGCATCCCATACTGACTAGGACACTGAGTGCGTGAATAAGATCGTTTAGATTGACGATCCTTCTACATGACGCATTATTGCCAATGATTCCTAAATTGGTGTGAGTCAAATTTACCTTAAGGATCATAAAGATGTTAGGGCCCTTCTCCCTAGTTATGCGCATATTGATACACATGAAAACATGTGGCATCAAGTGCTTTATCGACACCTTAGTCTCACACCTCATCCCATTAGCCTTCAGCGAACCTCAATGTTACAGCCAGTGCTTTGGGCAATAAAGGAAAGTCCCTGGACTGAAGAGGGGCCAGTATCCATCGTGCAGCTCCTGTGCTCTGTCCAGCCAGCTCCAGCGCAGCATCAATTTACAAGGTGGGCTTTCCTCCAGGCAGCTCTGTCTTTCTCCCAGCCTGTTCTCATTTAGGATGATCTCACCAAGAGCAATGAACGGAAATTTGGAGGGAAGAGCTACAGAAGGCATCTCCCAGGGGAAATTCTTTGTGGCTACATGATCTAGAATATGGACACCTGGCTGCTCTAAGGTGTCCTGAAAATAGAACCCTTCCCATGTTTGCAATATCCCTCTATGTCCTCTTTCCCCTCCATCTCTCTGTTCTTGGTGGCAAAATTCCCTTGGTAACAACAATAAAAAACTAAAAGTAGGGAATGGCGCATTTCCAATCTCAGAATTCTCTGAAATTTTACTGCCTATACCCAGTCTCCCAGGACTAACACCCTTTTTACTCTTTTAAGATTAGATTGCATTTTAATATCATTTAATCAGAGTTTTCTCTCATCCTTGTTATGTATATACATATTCTAAGAAATAATATTGAAAACATTATTTTCGGCCCTACAATTTCCAGATTCATTCACAGTTATTTTCTGATGGATGCATGCGTTTGTAATTATGTTTATAACTCCATTAAGTATAGAAATTGAGTAAATGATGAGTAGTAATGTACTAATACAGGAAAATGGCCCATATTTATTCAACATAAAGTTTCATGTTTTCATCAAGACAAATACATGAATACTTAATTATTCAGCAAAAACTCTTACTGTGTACATGTAAGCAATTATAAATCCATTGGCGTTGGTTTACCTTGTCGATTATTCCTTGTTTCTGAATTGTGCATTAAGAATTTCCATGAACACTTTAGAATACTGCATCCTTATCCTACCATTTTAAATACTAGATCATTGACAAAAGTCCAAATGACTTGTCCAGTTGTGTGCTACTGGTTCCTTTGTAGGGTGTCTTCCCGGGTACATTTTCCAATGTGAACTCCAGCTGATGGCCTTGTGATACTGACGTAAATACTGGTGTCTCCACAGACCATGGGGCCGATGATGTGTGGTCCTTTATGGAGTCATATATAACCTAATACTTTTCATTCAATTAGTGTAAGGAATGCTATGGAAAGTAGATTGGGGACAATTAATAGAAGAAGATTGATTATGAACATGCTGTTAGGGAGAAAAATTGAACCTCTGGCTATAAAGGTTTACATTTTATGCAATTAATCAGCCACCCTAACAAACCCCATTCATAGGTAGGGCTATATACATATATATATTAGATTAAGATTATATCATCCATTAGTTTGAATGTGCTTTTGTAAAGTATGCCTTGTTTCTCTTGCCCTTTCATACTGGGAGAAGCACGGAATAGATAGAAACCGACTGGATTACTCTGGTCCTAACTCAGATCACATACGACTTGAATCGTTGAACAAATGAGCCATTAACAGCAGCTACACCACTGGGATTTCCTGATCCAACATTGGTTATACACCCTATTGAGGATATGGACTCTAGAATAGGATTGTGCTATTATCCCGAGGGTAACTTCTTCTGTTGATCAATATTTTGGATCAATAAGTGATAAAATATTTTGACTAGCTGGTCTAGATTTTAATCACTCAGAGGTTATTGTCTTCTCTGCGGTCACCTCAACCAAAATTGTTAGTCCATTTAAGTTTTGTTATCCCTTGATTTGGCTTACCTTTGTTTTTTTTGTTTTTAATTAATTGAAGCTCCATAGGGTCTTCTTGTCTTATTTTGTCATACCCACTGCTTCAGAGAAAGGTCAATTTCACTGATTAAAAGTAAGAGAAAGTAAAATCCTTGAGTGGCCGTTCATACATGTCCTCATTTAGACAACAAATGATGATGTTGCCTTTGCAAGGTCTGGCCACTGCAGCCTTTACACCGTGTCACTGGTCAAGCAGAGCCTGTAACACCAGAAATGCCAGAGGAGATGCTTTTGGTAAACAGGTGGGGGCTGTGTTTGCAGAGTTTCTTTTACTTTTTTAAAGCTTTCCTTGAATGCCTACCTGTGTTAACAATTAATGTACTAAATAATTATTGGGTTGAATTTATTTTATTGTTAAATTTCGGTGATTATCTGTTCTAAGATTATGCAAGGAGAAATAATTCTTATTCCTCATAGTAACAGTACTGCTTCCATGAATTAATAGATTAATGCAGTATTAGATTAGGAGTTAGTTTCTATGATTGAAATTAAGATAAGTATATTGTCGAACCTGAAGGCTTTCTTAATTGGTGGCTGAATTTAGGCCAACTAGGGTACTGTTTGTACTCCCTCTCTAAGGAAGGTAGTATCCTGTATGTAAAAGGCTGTACCTCTTGAGGGTTGGGTCTGGAGGAGGCAGGAGGCTGGACAAGTGTGGAGCTGGCTCTGGTCCAGAGGGATGAGCAAGAGACACAGGGCACCTGCTGCCACACACAGCTACAGCAGACATCACCAATCAGTCACGACAAGCTTGGATACAGAGCCCAGAGAGCCCCCAGTCATCAACAAGGTGCACTTTGAAGCCACTCCCGGGCAGAGCAGGGGACTATGATGAACCCATTTGCCATTCCTGCTCCCCTAAGATGTGCTCCATTCCTCCTTTCCCCGCTTACTTCAGCAGCTCCTCACTGTCCTCAGGACTCTGGCTTTCAAGGCCTGCCAGCTGTCTGGCTCCAGCACTTCTCATTCCTTACCATCGCCTCCCCTCTCTGCTCCCAATCTAGTTCCAGGGCAAGTTACCTGTGGCTCCTGAGTGCTGCTCCTGGGCCTGGAAGGCTCTTCCTTCACCTGATCCACCCTGTGTGCTCCTACTTAACATTCAAGACTAGAGTCCAGTGATGCCTCCTCGGGAAGCCCTCCCTGATGCTCCATCTCCTCAGGCCTGCTCTGGGCCACCACTCTGCCTCCTGCCCACATCCATCACTGCCTGGAACCTTGCTGGGCCTCCTTGTCTGGTCTCCATGTCCAGCCCAGCCCCTCAAGAGGGGAGGAAATGCTTAGGCTTAGGGCAATAGAGCAGATTCTTGGAATGTGGTGACACTGCCCACCCCAGGAGAGGTCATTCTTTTGCCCACTTCCAGCTTCGGCCCAATGCAGCTCAGGGGGAGCTAAGACACAGGGAGGTTGGCTCTGGGCTCAGCAGGTCACAGGGTTGGCCTAGGGAAAGGGCACAAGGGGCCAAAAAGAGGGGCTCAGGACAGAACTCCAAGTCAACAATACCCTTGCAAAGGGCATCAGGGGCCAAAGGCAGCTGCACAGGCCACAGGAAGTGCTGGCGAGCTTTTCATCTGCTCAGAGAGTCCCAGGGCTGGATAGAAGGAACTCAGGAGGCCCATCTGAGGTGGAGGTCACCTCGGGGGCATGTAAGCAGAAGCTGAGGTTCCCACAGCAAGTGGAATCTGAAGAGGTGACCCTCAGATGCCTTGCAGCTCTAAGGGCTCCGAGTTGGAAGTCAGTCCCCTCAGTCACAGCCTCCAGCTGCCCCCTCACAGGGCTGTGCCTCTCAAACACAGCTCCCAAGGCGAGTGGAGGCTGAGGGTGAAGGAAATCTCCTACCTGTGAAAACCGCTGTGATCACAGCCTTCCACAAGGGGCCAAGGATGATGAGCAAGGGACAGAGGGACTGACCCACACGACTTCCCCTCAGATGCTGAACATGTTTGTGATTCACAGGGCCAATCAATATCTGTCCTCATCCTCCACTCCTCTCTCCCCAAAAGGACGTGTCAGTGTTTACTATGACATCCACAGACACATCAAGGGCAGCTGGGAAGTATCATGTGTACATCTGGAGAGAAGGGAAGTGTGAAAACCAGTAATATCTGCATCCATATGTGCAGATACCGACACCTACATACAGCTGTCACATTCCTCCAGCAGCCCTGGAATACTCCGCAATCACGCTGACAGGTTTTGGCACATGGCAGCCAAACCAACTGGTGTTGTCCCCGAATGCCACCACTGCTGGGGACTACCTTGAGATTGGAGGGAGGCAGGGTGCCGTGCCCCATCTCACAAAAGTCTGGCTTGTGTCCAGGAGGGTCTCACAGCCTTTGACGATCATGCATTCCATGGCTATGTTTTCCTGGATGCTCTCTGTCTCATTTACTTCATTGTGCATTATCCTGTCTGGACAGAAAATAAGCTAGAGACAGGCTGCCCCCACCTCTCAGGGAGAAGGGAATGCCCGGCCTCTGGCCAGACCTAGGAGGAAGGCCTGGCACCCAGGATGCTCAGGTGGAGCCTGTGGTCACGAAGGGAGAGAGAGAATGCATATTGAATGCTTGCTGTGCTGGGCACTCTATGGACATGATCACACATCATCCTTCTGACAGCCTAAGGAGACAGGTGTTCTTATTTCAAAGAGAAGGAAATGGAGAATAATAGCTAGAAAGCAGATCTGATCTAAAAGTCTGAACCACGTGGAACAGAGATGGCAAAACTGGGACGAGGACAGGAGTACAGGAAACAACCTTTCTTCATCACTTTGCCCCCCACACCACTACTGGCCTTATCTCCATCCATAGAACTCCACCCACCCATCCTGCCTCAGGGCCTTTGCACTTACTGTCTCCATCCCACCCCCAATGCACTTTATACAGTTGCTTCCTTAATGTTCGGGCCCTGGAATGGCTTAGCTTTGGAGCACCTGGCACTCCCACTGGCTCATGGAAAGACTGAGTTCAGTAGGCTCCAGCACATCTGGGGGAGAGCAGGACTCACCTTGCCCCCTAATCTGAGAATAAGGACAACTCTCCTATTTGTCCTGACTGCCGCAACACCCCTCCTCTCCAGGTGGAGCCATTTAACTGCTTTTTAAAAAGAGCGTTGGTGGAAAAAGAGGGGTGTGAGTTGCCAAATTTTCTAAGAGACTTGGTGGGTTTTCAGGAGTCTTAGGAAGTTAGTAATTTTGGAGGGAGAAGTGTCTGGAAAAAGTACCCCACCTACTCCAAGAAAAGCACAAAACCTCTTATTTGTCTGCTGATGCCTCAGATTCTACAACCACAAGCAGATCACCAAGAGGGCTGGTTAATATGCTTGGCTTACGAAGTTCTCTAGTAGACCCTGTGCAATTTAACCCTCCCAGCTATAAGAGATCACACTGGTCGAGCTGGATCGGTGATTAACGACTTCAGCGTGATGAGCAAATTACTGGGCCCCTCTGACCCTCAGTTTCCTCACCTGTAGAAGGTCGAAGTGAATATGGAAGAGAACGCATTTCACGTGCTGACCTCAGGCCCATCACATGGAAGATGCTTGAGTAAAGGGCTGTGATGACTGTTGTTATTATCACTGGTTGAAAAGGTGTTATTATAAAACTATTATTATCCGTTGTTTTCTGGTTATCAGACTGGGGCATGGAGATGGGGTCTCTTCCTTAGGAGCCTCAGTCCCTCCCTCCAAGCTGTGCTCTTCTTAGCAGCCCAGGCCCTAGCCCTCTTCGAGGGAGGCACCTTTCAAGGATATACTAGTTCCCTGGATATGGACTCATTTTTGGAGGTTAGCAAAGGTAAACAGAACCATTTCTTTTGAAGAGGGTGGGGATTTTGCTGAGGAGGGCTGTATTTGCTGAAAACAAGGGGGCGATTCCAGAGTAGCAACACTAGTTTCACTCTCAGACAAGTGCCAGCTGCAGCTGCTCAGGACTACTGCCAGCCCCAGCTGGGGTTTGTGCTGAGAGCCACACAGTCCACGCAGCTGGGGAGGATTTCCCAAGGCCACAGGCTCCAGGGGAACTGGAAGTGACGACCTGGGATACAGTGAGCCCAAGAGATGGGGTTCAGGAGAAATAGTGGGACAAAGGTCAGAGGTAGGAGAAAGCCAGCCCCAGAGGTGGAGTGTTTCTGAACAAAGCCAGGGAGGTTTGGTTATCTGATGGCTTCCTGATGAGCTGGGAGCCTTCCTCAGTCCCCCAAGGAAGGGAGAGATGAGGATGAAAGGGCTGCTGTCAGGGTGACAGGAAAACCCTCTTCTGTGCCACTAGGGCTGGGTTCAGGCCAGAGGCAGGTGATCAAGTGGGACAAAGGACGAGAAGGCTTCAGGAAAGAAGATCAGGATCTTGGGACAAATGTCTTGGCTCCCATGAGCCTTCCCCATCCCTTGCGGCACCAGGACAGGGCATCCCGCAGTGATGAGGAGCCTTGCTGGAGCCCCCCGTCTTCTCCTTGAGGAAGTGTGCAGGATTTGGTTCCTTGGGGCACGAGAGGACTGGGGTCCCCACCCCACAATGCTTTATGTTAGTCTGCAATCACACTCTGATTATATCTGCTCCCTGAATGGTCCTCCACTCCAGGGCCTGTGCCCTGCCCTGGTCCAGCCTGGTCCTCCCTCTGCCCAGCTGGGAGCTGTGGTCCTACTGGATGCCTTTTGCTGGACTCAAGAAGCCATTTAGGTCACTGAGTGGTTGGCAGGTCTGGGGAATGGACCTCACATGCTGCAGACCGACACTCCTTTGCAGCTTCTGGCAGCCCATCACTGAGTACGAGGCTTCTTATCATCTCTTGGCCTCCTTAAGGTGGAGATCCCAGGGCTCAGCTCTTGGTGCGCATCTCGTTCCTGCCTAAACTCACTTTCCTGGTGATCTCACCAGTCTTGTGACTTTAAATACCATCTCCAAGCTGATGGCTCCCTAATGGCTCCCTCCCTTACACTCCAGACTCAAACGCCCTCCTCCCTTCTTGTCTTCTCCACCACTGTTGTCTATCTGAAGTTCTACATACTCCCAGTAAATGTCCAATGAAGCAAAGAAGACTTCCCC